AGAGAGAGAGAGAGAGAGAGAGAGAGGTTATATATTATTTTCAAAGGGTCTCCTTTGTGGGCTACATTCCCATATTCATACATCTCCTAAAGAGTCTTTCCTTGTCTGCATGTAAAAATATATTTTTTTCATCAATGGGATGTGTGCTAAAAAAAGGATACGATAAATTATTTTAATGAAATACAAACGCAGCCATTTTGCATGGTGACAAAAACCACAGTATCAAATCTGGTACACCATTTTTCTTTATTGTTATTATAAGAATTAATTACGTTTATAGTTTTTATTTCGAGTTTTTTATTTTAGTTTTTAGTTTTTGTTCTTTAGATTTTGCTTTTATTTGTAAATAAAAAAAAACTAACCTTTTGGTTTTGGTTTTTAGTTGATTTTCACAACTAAAATAGTTCTTCAAATTTAAAAAAAAAATAAATTTACAAAAATATTGATTGTCAATTTTTTTTTTGGATTTTTAGATTCTAAAAACTCTATCCATTATTTAACCCCTAATATTTTTGCTTTACGGAGGTCGAAAGGATTAGTTCGATGGATTATAGAACGTAGAACAATTAGCAGCTAACGTTGTTTTCCAGTATTTGCCATTTTTATGGGTAAAGACATGGCTCACCCAATACTACAAGTTATAAGAAGTTGATTAAGGATTAGCTAGTGTTTTGGATTATTTCTTGTAATAATAACTCCATAATTGTGGTTTGTTATTATATTCACAATCAGTGTCTTTCCTTGTTCGCCACTCTCTAAAATGGGAGCGTTAACGATCGATGGAACGTAACTTCAAACCGAAAATGAAAGTAATTAAAGAGACGATGAAGTTAGAAAGATATAATAAATATAAAAAAACACAAATAGACAACTTGTGCAAACTCTTAGATGGGATTCACTTTTAATTGTTGCAAAAAAAAAATGTTTTTGGTAGAAATAAATGAAGAGCACTCAATTTTTGAAGAGTCTTTCTCTTTTTCCTGTTATTTTTCTTCTTATTTCCGTGCTCCATATCAGTACTATTTATTTTTATACACACCAAAATATATCTGTTTAAAAGGTTCAACAGAAAGATGTGAGTTTTTTTTTTGGGAAGTTCACTACATTGCATATAAAACCACTTATAACTTTCATTACACGAATGTGAAGTACGTCTAAATGGAATTAGGGGTGGGTGTTTCGGGAAACGGTTCGGATTCGGGATGAGAATGGATCGATTCGGTTTTTTTGGTTTTACAAAAATAGGTACCAATCGGTTTTTATATTTTGTTCGGTTCGGTTCGGTTTCGGTTTTATTAAAAAAAATATGGATTTCCTTTAAAAATATTCGGTTTTTCGGAATTTTTTAAAGTTCGGTTCGGTTCCGGAAAAATTCGGTTCTCTAAAAATAATACCGTTCGGGAATTGAGAACGATTTCAGACCAGAAAAAGTACCGTTTTTTCGGTTCGGTTCGGTCCGGTACCGAAGAACCGAACAGAAACGCCCACCCTAAATGGAATGTTATGTTACTCTTCATCCATAAATATTCGATATATCATTTCAAAAAATAATAGTCAATACTCTAAAATATTCAAGAGATGATAAACCCAAATGCCAATATACTGTTGTAAGTGCTTTTAAAGCTGGACACTTTTTTCCTTGTTTTGCTTTCTTCCACTTCTTTCTACTCTTTGGGGGGTTTTTTTAACGGCTCGAGAAAAGAACAAGCATGAATGATATGGTGACCCCGTTGTTAGTAGTTCATCCCGTAGTTGATTTCTTTGACTCTTTGACCTTTTTGGCTTTGACTTGGTATTGGACCGAATTGGTAGTGATGGAGACAACAAAACCGGTCCGGTTTAGGCTTGGATGATCAAAGGGTGTGATTTGATTGGTCGAGAGAGACAAAGTAAGCTGAAAGAAGTGTATTAACGTATGAAACTCAAAACTGTTTTGCATGTTAATTATAGATATGTAATTGTCACGCTCTGTATCAGTTTGATTCTATGGTGTATTATCTCTGATTCTTCAAGTTCCCATATGCCGACAAACTGGCTGTTCTAAGTTTAGAAACTGAGCAGATGTGAAAGATATTAGATTCTCCCCA